GGCACCCGTCTCCACCAGCCGGATGATCTTCCTCTTGGAGACGACAGTGTAGAGCAGGTTCAGGCGCCCGTACTCCCACTGCACAGGGCAGTAGACGTCCAGCGTGTTGCACAGCCAGAAGTAGGAGGAGCGCCTGCAAGGGAGGCACAGGCACGGCCTGGCTCAGCCTCACGCCCGCCTACAGCCCCACGGACACACTGTCCCCCAGCACTTTGGCAGCCGCCAGGACACGGCCAGCTGCTCCCCCCCAGAGCTGCCCTGCCAGGTTCGGATCCGCCCTGGGCCATGCCATGCATGGCGCTCACCTGGCCTGGAACTCTTTGGTGCAGAGGGAGTGCGTGATGTGCTCGATGGAGTCGCAGAGGCAGTGTGTGTAGTCATACGTGGGGTAGATGCACCTGCAAGGCAGATGCAGTCAGCCCTGGGGCAGAGCCCGGTGCTGCTCCCCTCCCGAGACCTCCCCGCTCCCAGAAGACGCAGACCCACCCCCCCCATGCGTGCCAGGACGCCGCAGGCCCTCCCTACCACTTGTCCCCGGTGCGGTGGTGCGGAGTGAACTTGACACGGTAGGCGACAGGGTCCATCTTCCCGTCCTCCATCACCAGCTTCATCCGCAGTGTGGCCTCCCCCTCCCCAAACTTGCCCTTTCGCATGTCCTGTGGAGCAGGGGGAAGCTGTCAGCTGAGCCACGGACCCGGACCCCACGGGCACGCAGCGCCTGCCCCCAGCCAGGAGTACCTCAAAGAGGAGGAGCGACTCCTCCACGGGCCGGTCCCGCCACGGCGAGGGCGGTGGGTTGTGGCCCTTGATCTCCTCAACCTTCTGATGGCAGACGTACGCCTGGCCCCTACGGAGGGGAAAAGCCGTCACCAGACGCAAGTGGCCCATCCCCTGGGCGAGGGGGAGCCCTGGCCACGGCACAGGACATCCGCACCGCCCTGGTGAATCCATACTGCCCTGGCACGCTCACCTGTGGATGAGCTCCAGGGCCCAGGTGTAGAGCTGGTCAAAGTAATCCGACGCGTGGGTCACTGCATAGGGCTGGTAGCCTGTGGGGATGGGGAAAACAGAGTGAGTTGGAGGCACCCCAGGGCCCGGCAGCAGGACCTCATGCAGGGATGTCCCCAGCAGCGCCCGGCCTGATCCTGCCCTCCCCAGCCCGAGCCGTACCCAGCCACTCCACCATCTCCCGGATGGCTGTGAAGTACTTCTCCTCCTCCTTCTCGGGGTTGGTGTCGTCGTAGCGCAGGAAGCACACGCCACCATTGGCCTGGGGACGGGGGGACAGTGAACAGCCGCTCCCTGAGGGACTGCAGGGCCAGGCCAGTGGCCAAGCAGCAGGGGGAGGCAGGGGCCGGCGGGAGCTGCCAGCAGGGCTTGGTCCTTCTCACCTTGGCGTAGCCAAAGTTGAAGTTGATGGCCTTAGCATGGCCAATGTGCAGGATCCCATTGGGCTCAGGAGGGAACCGTGTCCGCACCTGCAGGGGGGAAAGGGGACACCTCTGTCCTTCGGCAGGAGACTCTCCCCATCCCTGACAGCGGGGGCACTGACATGAGCCCCCGACGATCCCACAGAGCCCCCCGTGCCACGTGGGTGCTGCCTCTGGCCATGCCCCCGGTGAGCTGTGTGTCCCTCCAGCCACCCCACCCACCCGGCTGGAGCCTGGCACAGCAGTGCCAACCTCGCAGGGAACCGCTGGGCTGGGGGACGTGGCCTCACCTGCCCACCCGTGATTGCCAGGTGCTGCTTCAGCAGAGCCATGGTGTTGGGCGTCACCACGTAGCCCTCCGTCTTGTAGTTCTCTCCTGCAGGCAGAGGATGCTCAGGGCTGCAGCACCGCCCAAACCGAGCCAAGCCCAGCAGCCGGCGGGGAAGGACACGGGGCCGGGCCAGTCCCCCGCAGCACAGCAAGCTGGGGTCAGGCACAGAGCCGGTGGAGCGGTCCCACACACGGCAGTGGCTCCTCACACTCACCCGGCTTATGGAACTTGAGGGCTTCTCCCCGCAGCTGCTCCAGCAGCGATCGCGTCTCCACGCCCACCTCACCTGCAGGGAGAGACGGGGCTGAGCAGGGGCCTGACCGCAGCTCCTGGGGCCCAGCTCGGAGGCAGGTCCTGGCCAGGAACCGAAGGGCTGGGGAAGCTGCCCACAGGAGAACAGTCTCTTACCGTTCTCCACCACAGCCGCCTTCTGCTTCTCCGCTGGGGCCGGCCGGGCCTTTGCAGCCTGCAGGGACCAGCACAGCATCCTGAGTGCCCGGCCCCGGCAACCACCTTCCCCTCCTGGCCCAGCTTGCTGCCCCAAGCGCTCCCTCAGACCCGTGGCCATGGTGGCGGCTGGGCCCAGAGCAGCTATTTGGGATCCCGCCTGGACACTCAGCAGGGAAATACCCTCCCAGTTCCCAGCCTCCCCCACCTCCTCACCTTTGGTTTCTTTTCCAGGTCAGCTTCTGTCTTTGGCCCCAGCAAATGCAGCACCTGGAGAAGAGAAACACAGACAGAAGTAGAAAAGGCCCCCGGTGCCCCAAGGCCTGGAGGTGGCCCTGTCCAGCTGTCACCCCCCTCCCCCTGCCTGCACCTACCCAGGGCAGGCTGACCCTCACCCCGCCCGCACCTGCCCAGGACAGGCTGTCCCCAGTGCCAGGTCCTCCCATGGGACAGGCCAGCAGGTCCCACACCGGGCACGGCACCGACAGGGGACACCACCCCGAGCAGCGCCTGACCCGCTGCCCTCCCAACCCACCTGCAGGTCCACCTCATTCTTGATGGTCTTCCCGTCCGCCCACCGCAGCCGGCTCCGCGCCTCCCCTGCGGACAGGGCACCCCGTGGGCGAAGGGCACGGCCCAGCCCGGGGGGGCTTCAGCCAGGGCCGCTGACGCAGGACGCCGCAGCCAGCGGCTGGAGGCAGCCCTTGCCCCAGGGCCGTCCCTGGCACAGGGCACCACAGGCGGCTGCCACCCACAGCCCTGCCCGCGCGGGGGACATGGCAGGACGTCTCCCCTGCATCGGGTGGGCTGCGGCACAGCGATGCAGCAGCTGGGGCCGGGACAGCCCACGGCAAAGGGCTGGCTCTCAGGATCCAGGGGAGCAGGAGCGCCAGGCAGGGGCTGCCCCCGTGCCCCACACTCACCCATCAGCAGCCCCATGTTGAAGCGGTAGCGCTCCGCCAGCAGCTCTGCTCGGTGCTTGCCGATCACGGCCTCCACCTGGGGAGCGGGACAGGGACGCAGGGGTGAGCGAGGCAGGCAGGGAGCGTGACGCCAGGGGCTGCCAGCCCGTCCCGTCCAGCGTCCCCCATGCCGTCCCCGCGGGGCAAGCAGGGCCGCGGCCCCACTCACCGCCTCCTCGATCTGCTCGGGGGTGACGCACACCCCCACGCCGCAGGCCTGCTCAAAGTCTGCCGCGTCCAGGGGCTCCAGGGGGTGGTTCCTCAAGTACTCCAGGGCGGCTGGGGACAGAGGGCCGGTGAGGAGCGGGGCCCTCCCCTCCCCGCCGGGGCCGGGGGGTGGTCCCGGGGCCGCACGGTACCGCTGAGCTGCAGGTCGGTGAGGATCTCCCTACGGAC